AACAACAATAACAACAACAATAACGACAACAATAACAATAACAATAACAATAACAATAAAAGCGCTTGAATCATAACAATATATGAATCCATTGTCATATTTATCATTTGTCAGCAGCTATAAATGTTTCTCAATAATTAACTTAAAATGATTAGTTATTTCTCACTTTTAATTTGATCCATGAAATTTCTTTGCCCTTTGAAATCATCACTGACAATAGAAAGAGAGAGAGAGAGAGAGGGAAAAAAAATGGAATTCTATTAATTGAAAAAGTTAATTCGACAGTGTCATTTCATAAATGTAATACATTCTGTTCTTGTTTTTAATATTAAAACTTTCTATTGAATTTCACAAATTTATTTTAACCTTAAGCTATACTTTTTCGTTTTTGCTTCTTTTTCTTTCTTTTCTTCTCTATCTTTCTCTCTCATTGGCTCTTTCCAGTTTAAACTCCTCAAAATTTTGCTTTTTTTAAAATGACTTTCATAATTCTTTTTCTGTAAAAACAATTTCTAATTTTAGACAATGTTAATTATCATAATATTTCACTTATCATTTTCATCCGAATCATATCAACATATACTTATTGCAAAACAAAATCCAAAATCTGGAATCGGGAATCCGAAACCATTACTGCTATTCATTTAGTTTTAATTCCGAACTGTATACATTATCGTGAAAAAAAAAAAGCTTTTTCATTTAAATTCGCTTACCGAAACGAAATGCTGTTGTTGACCGATTGTCATTCATAATTGGAACTGCTTTTGGATGATGAAAGAATGTATTAGGTGTGTATAATGATGAGTGACCAGGTGATTGTGACCAACATGTAAAATCTCGCCTAAGCATTGTCTTATTTTTTTCTTTTAACGTTATTTGCGAGAAGTTTGATTTTCAATTATTTCAGATTTGTCAGAAAATACAGCAAATACTGAAAAAAAAAAATTTCTAATTTTAATTTTATCAATCAACAATTGATTAAATCGATTACAATACGTTTTTTAACGGAAAACAAAGGAAAGCTTGTAATTATTTTGATTTATTTAAAAAAAAAAATATCTTATTAAATGAAAATTAGATGATAAATGAAAAAGGATTTTTTTAAATCATTACCAAGTATTATAAAACATAAATATTTCATGCAATTTTCTTCCTGAAATATGATAAAAATAAATGAAGCACTTAAATTAGCTTGAATTTTGATAAAATTATTCAAAAAAAAAATATTTCAATATAATTCCCTGT